CTCTTAATGTCTCTGAGTCAGTCACTGCACAAGTATTTCTGACGTAACTCATCAAACGCACAGGCAGCTTCTGACCGTGCATGATTACAGCAGCATTGATTAAAGATGAGCAAACTCGAGACCGGTTTCGACAGTGTCTTCTCATCAGCTGTCAGGCTTGCTTAAATCAATGCTGGTGAATTGACATGTTACAGGCAAGGGACCCTATCTTTATGATATAGAGCCTAATTCTATGCAAATGTATCGAATACATAATTCAAATTTAGACTTAAAACTTCCGTGACTGCAGGAATTCATATTCTTGGTTCTTTTGGTAAAGTCACTTAAATAGAAAAAAAATAAAAATAAAAATAATAAGATAAAATAAAAATAATAAAATAACTATCATTAATTGGGATTAAAAAAAGCAAAAAAAACCCACTCATTCAGCTTCATTCATTGAACAGACCAAACTGTTTTCTTTAAAACCTTCTGCTGCTAGACCACCCAGACTATATGGCTTACCAAAAATAAAATAGAAGGCACACCCCTTTGTCCCATCGTCTCCACCATTGACTCACCCACCTACTAACTGGCCCGATATCTTTCTGAGACCTTGCAGCCATTCACTGGTAAAACCACTTCTGTTCTTAACTCAGCTCACCTGGTATCGTCAATTAAAGACGTGTCACTGTCCCCAGGTGATTTGCTCGTTAGTTTCGATGTAGTTTCTTTGTTCACCAAAGTTACTGTGCCCGATACCATTGCAATAATTGAAGATTTGGTCCAACAACGACTGAATGCTGATGTACCGGCCCTGGTGAGACACTGCCTCACCAATACACACTTCACCTGGAATGGAACATTCTACAAACAAACTGAAGGCACCCCAATGGGTTCTCCCTGACAGTATCTCCGGTTGTGGCCAACATTTTCATGGAAAATTTTGAGACGGACGCCATCGAGGCATCCACTCTACTCCCGTCATTGTGGAAGAGGTACGTGGATGACACGTTTGTCATCTGGCCACATGGCCGACCGGCTCTGAAACAATTCCTCAATCACATCAATTCCATACACCCAGCCATCAAATTCACCATGTAGGTAGAAAATGATGGCATGCTACCTTTCTTGGATGTCTTAATCAAAAAGAGACCAGATAGCTCAATGAGCCACTCTGTCTACAGGAAAGTAACCCATACTGACGCCGACCTCAAACCTGTTTCCCACCACTATCCATCCCAGATGAAATTCCCTCATCAACACGCTACACCATAGAGCTCAATGTATCTCCGACCATGAACACCTGACCAGTGAACTCAAACACGTACACCACGCTCTCAAGGCAAATGGATATTCTGACTCCACAATCCGCAAAGCCATCACCCCAACTGTGAGGAAGGAGCCGTCTGAAGATCCAATCAAAACCATCACCTTACCTTACATAGCAGGGATAACCAAAAATAGTTCTAAAATATTGAAGAAACACAAGATCCAGGTTCGATTTAACACAGTGCACAAAATTCCTGACCTGATCCCAGCTGTAAAGGACAAATTTCCTGACACGCAATATCCCGGTGTCTACAAACTAAGCTGTACCTGCAGCAGCAGTTACATTTCGTGGGGTTTTTGCGTTTATTATTTTCAATTGATTATTTTTTTATTTTATCCTCTTATTTTTATTTTATTTTCATCTTATGATTTTTTGTTTACTATTTACGTGACTTTACCGAAATAACCAAGAATATACATAACTCAAAATAACCCTTCATTTTCGTGTAGAGAGACGGATATGTGAAGGAGACATTGTCCATGTATTTAGTTAAATACGTTATATATACAGTACAGTCACATGCCGAGGAGGTTCAGACTCAGTTTTTTTTCCATTAGTATTCATAGTAAATAGATTGTACAGCCTTTTCAACAACCCACTGCTGGATGAAGTCCATGTCAGTCATGGGGGTTGTTTGGCCACATTTCACCCAAGCATGCCCATTGAGGGTTGGTGAAGTGGGGGGAACACACTGACCCGGTTTATATAACACCCGCCACTGATATTATAAGCCATGGCTGGGTGTCAAATTAGCGATTCGGAGCAGTGTTTAAATTCCCATTTGTTTAATTAGTCTTCTGCGTATGTCCTATGAAGAGTAGGCGATTTAGTTGGAAGTGATATAGCAATTCAAATTGCCTCGTCTGAAGAGTTGGTGAAATTGCAACGACCACCGCCTTCACGTGTACATTTGGGGCAGTGTAAATGTGTACATGGTCCTTGGTTTGGAGTTCCTAGCCACAGCAGGAGTTGCCCTTGCACTGCATTTGGTATCCATCAACGTGAAAGGGAACTCATCACGTGCCTTTTTTTCATGATTCAAACATTATTGATTCTCAATGCATCGTGAGCATTTTCATCGATTAATATATATTGTTAGATTAATCTTTACAGATTTCTATAAACAGTAAGAATAGGTTTTACCCTTTTCTGGCAATAAAACGGGTGTGTTAAGATGTTAAAACACCAAACAGAAACCTTTTTGTAAGGAATCAATACTTATCAGAGCAATGTGTTTTTTGTTTCCACGTTCGCCACAAGTACGTGCCGTTGATGGATACATTATTCCTTGCAAAAGGTTTCTGTTTGGTGTTATAAAATCTTAACACCTGCTGCTTTATTGCCATAAAGGGTAAAACCTATTTTTACATTTTGGTACTGGCAAGGGAGGTCACCATGATTGAAGTAATAATTATAAATGTACAGCCCTTTGCCAATACACTTGCTGGATGAAAGCTTCCTCATGCCATTTAGGCCGTAGGGGTCATCTGGTTAGTGCAAGTTCATGACCGGAGGAGAGGGATGAGGAGTGGACAGGGCCTAAGACCAGCCCATCTATCACACACCACTGATGTTAGCCATGGCCAGAAATTGAAACTCGGTTCACCTGGGATCGTGGTGCAGTAGGCGTGGCGGTGGCACATCCTGGCTGGTCAGGAGAAAGCAGTACAGCAAGGACTAATTTCTATCTCCGTGATTATGGGACGAAGTGTTGCCCCCTTGCACAAGTGGGGTTTCTCCGGGTATTCTTGTTACCCAACCCCCCACTTGTATAAACATTCATTCATTGGCCGAGTCAATTATTGCTATGCACCCTTGACGTCAAAGATTTCATTTGGGCAGGACCCGACATTAACAATGTCAAGACGAAGGTGTGGCGAAGGGACGCTCCCATATGAGGACGTCGCTCCCACGGAGATGGAGCAGCGATACAAATCAGCTCGTGTGCAAGGAGCTGGGTCGGATCGTTCTCCATCGCAGATCGGCGGCGAGATGCAGCGACAGCTTGAGGGAAGCCTTCATCACTGAGTAGGAGATTGACCGAGGCTAATGACGCTGGTTATGGTGCCGTACATCCCCCCTTATAATCGGAAAAGCTCCAATAAGTCCGGCTTCGAGAGGTTTTACGTGAGCATGTGACCGATGTGGTTGCAACAATTTGTAGTTATAAGTAAAACATATATTATTTGTCCTTTTAACCTAAGGGAGAAAAATGCATATCTTTTAAAAAATAATGTGTTCAATTCATGTATCGTGAACGTAATAATCGATTCAAATATATACCATAGTAATTTTATTTTAGTTCAATGCTGTAGTTGCACTAAAACAAACTCAACACATTCGTCAATAACATGAAAATTTTATTATAATAATAAGCGACGTTTTGGAAAATTTCTATTTTTCATGGCACATGAAATCATTATATTTATGTGCTCTTAAGAAGGGCCATTGCCCCAAACGTAAATGTTTTCATTCATGTGCCTGTGTGTTGTTATTGATGACTGTGTTGAGTTTACATCTATGGGACCTTGTTTGTCAGTATCAATATCAACGACTATAATGAGCCAAGAATGTCTGTGTGTCCCGCGCGTGACGTCACTCCACGTCGACCAGCCCCCCTAATTAATAATCATGAGCGGCTGACGTCACTCCACATTGTGGGGGGGGAGCGAGGCGCCTCCTCCCCCCTCCTTGGCGTCACCTCCCAACCCTCACGTCATAGGCAGAACCTCCACGTCACGTGATCTCCGTGGCGCTGTTGTTGAGACATCGAAGTAAAAAGGACGTCGTGATGAACAAGGGATTATAAACCTTTATATTAAATAAATCCGTGTCACCGCGGCCTTACAAATTGCACACGAATTGATGCAATGAATATATCACGTCGCCGGTCTGTGCTTTTCGCTTGCAAGTTTCACATTTACTGCAATACACACGCATTTGGACGGGCAAAAGGCGAGTTATTGAATAAGAAGCATAGCTTGATGCCTTTCAGCAAGGTGTTTATTTGGTGTTTGAACATCTTAACAATTGTGTTATTGCCTGGAAAGGTTACCTCTTATTTTTCTCATTCCATAATTGTGTTGAGTTTGTTTTAAAAAAAAAAATGTGTTTGTTGCAGCACTGCCAACACAGCAGCAGTAGCAGCAATCGCCAAATTGTTAAATGTGTGTTGTGGGTCGTTCTCAAACAATATCGGCGGTGCTGCTGAAGCGGTGATGAATTGGCCACGTTCGTTCACGTGCCAACTCTTCACAGTGGCTGCGTCCGTGGTGACGGAGGGATTACAACACAACACACACACAAACGACTACGGAATGCAATAATTTGTAATTGCCGGGCAGTTTAGTTGGTGGTGCATGCCTGTAATCCAGCTCAAGCAAGTGGACTAATCGCCATCTGTCCCCATCTATACGGCGGTAATTGAGAGTTGTGTCCCCATCGCTCAAGGCGTGGGTTTCCTTCCAAATCGTCATGAATCGGCTGAAAACATCTTTTAAAAAAACAAACTAAAAAATAAACCCTCCTGCAAAAAAAAAAATAGAGAGTCACGAAGCTCAGTTGTGTGGCTGTCTGGATAAATAAGCGCGTTTACAATAAAAAAAAATCGTACTCCGCGCGAATCTGCGCGCCGGTGAATGCGAGGCGAAGCGCCGTTCACCGCGAATCGCGCGGGGTCCGAATCGTGCGCCGTGGGCCCTCTACGCGATCGCCCAGTAAGCGACAAGTGGAGCCTGAGCTCGCCCGCCCACTGTCCCCTCCCTCGACTTTATAACAAAAAAAACACACGAAACAATTAAATTACAATCATTAACGCGATCACTAACGCGCGGCCATGGCTTCGAACCTCCCGCCGGGCGACCCCAAGTTGGTGTCGAGCATCGTGGATCACCTCAAGTCGCAGGGAATGTTCGATCAGTTCCGTCGCGATTGCTTGGCCGACATTGACACGAAGGCAAGGCCCTCGACTAGAGACTCACAGACACCACTTTCACACCTACACTTACACTACACTCACTACACTCACACTCACTACACTCACACTCACTACACTCACACTCACTACACTCACACACACTACACTCATTACACTACACTTACACTCACTACACTCACACACTCACTACACTCACACTACACTCACTACACTCACAACATTACACCTACACTACACTCACACCTACACTCACACTCACACCTACACTCACAACACTACACTCACTACACTACACCTACACTCACACCTACACACACACTCACTACACTCACACTATACTCATTACACTACACTCACACTTACACTCACAACACTACACCTACACTACACTCACACCTACACTCAGACTCACACCTACACTCACTACCACTACACTCACACCTACACTACACCTACACTACACCTACACTCACACCTACACTACACCTACACTACACCTACACTCACTACACTCACACTCACTACACTCACTACACTCACACCTACACTCAACTACACTACACCTACACTCACACCTACACTCACTACACCTACACTCACACACTCACACCTACTCACTACACTACACCTACACTCACTACACTACACCTACACTCACTACACTACACTCACACCTACACTCACTACACTACACTCACTACACTACACCTACACTGCACTCACTACACTACATCTACACTACACTCACTACACTCACATTGACACGAAGGCAAGGCCTCGACTAGAGCTTCACAGACACTACACCTACACTCACTACACTACACCTACACTCACACCTACACTCACTAGACTACACCTACACTCACTACACTACATCTATATTCACTACACTACACCTACACTCACTACACTCACACCTACACTCACACACTCACACCTTAACTCCCTACACTACACCTACACTCACTACACTACACCTACACTCACTACACCTATACTCACTACACTCACACCTACACTCACTACACTCACTACACTACACCTACACTCACATCTACACTACACCTACACTCACACCTACACTACACCTACACTCACCATACTACACACTCACCACACCTACACTCACACCTACACTCACCACACCTACACTCACACCTACACACTCGCCATACTACACCTACACTACACCACACCTACACTCCACCACACCTACACTACACCTACACTACACCTACACTACACCTACACTACACATACACTCACTACACTCACACCTACACTCACTACACTCACACCTACACTCACTACACTACACCTACACTCACATCTACACTACACCTACACTCACACCTACACTACACCTACACTCACCATACTACACACTCACCACACCTACACTCACACCTACACTCACCACACCTACACTCACACCTACACACTCGCCATTCTACACCTACACTACACCACACCTACACTCCACCACACCTACACTACACCTACACTACACCTACACTACACATACACTCACTACACTACACTCACTGTACTGCACCTACACCCACTAGACTACACCTACACCACACCTACACTGCACCTACACTACACCACACCTACACTCACTACACTACACCAACACTCACACCTACACTCACTACCCTACACCTACACTCACTACACTCACACCTACACTAACTACAGTACACCTACACTCACTACACTACACTTACACTCACTAGATTACACCTACACTCACACACTCACACCTACACTCACTACACTACACCTACACTCACTACACTACACCTACACTCACTATACAACACCTACACTACACTCACTTCACTACACCTACACCACACCTACACTCACTACTCCTACACTCACTAGACACTATACTACACCTACACTCACTACACACTCACTAGACTACACCTACACTCACTGCACACTCACTAGACTACACCTACACTCACTACACACTCACTAGACTACACCTACACTCACTACACCTACACTCACTACACACTCACTACACCTACACTCACTACACACTCACTACACCTACACTCACTACACACTCACTAGACTACACCTACGCTCACTACACACTCACTAGACTACACCTACACTCACTACACACTGGACTACACCTACACTCACTACACACTCACTAGACTACACCAACACTCACTACACACTCACTACACTACACCTACACTCACTACACACTCACTAGACTACACCTACACTCACTACACACTCACTACACACTACACTACACCTACACTTACTACACACTCACTAGACTACACCTACACTCGCTACACACTCACTACACACTCACTAGACTACACCTACACTCACTACACACTCACTACACTACACCTACACTCACTACACACTCACTAGACTACACCTACACTCACTACACACTCACTAGCTGTACTCACTAAACACTCACTAAACACTCACTACACACTCACTACACACTCACTACACACTCACTAGACTACACCAATACTCACTACAGACTCACTAGACTACACCTACACTCACTACATACTCACTAGACTACACCTACACTCACTACACACTCACTACACTACACCTACACTCACTACACACTCACTAGACTTCACCAACACTCACTAGTCTACACCTACACTCACTACACACTCACTAGACTACACCTACACTCACTACACTCTCACTACACACTCACTAGTCTACACCTACACTCACTACACACTCACTAGACTACACCTACACTCACTACACACTCACTAGTCTACACCTACACTCACTACACACTCACTACACACTCACTAGTCTACACCTACACTCACTACACACTCGCTACACTACACCTACACTCACTACACACTCACTACACTACACCTACACTCACTACACACTCACTACACTACACCTACACTCACTACACACTCACTAGTCTACACCTACACTCACTACACACTCACTAGTCTACACCTACACTCACTACACACTACACACTCACTACACTACACCTACACTCACTACACACTTACTAGACTACACCTACACTCACTACACACTCAATACACACTCACTACACTACACCTACACTCACTACACACTCACTAGACTACACCTACACTCACTACACACTCACTACACTACACCTACACTCACTACACACTCACTAGTCTACACCTACACTCACTACACACTCACTAGTCTACACCTACACTCACTGCACACTCAGTAGACTACACCTACACTCACTACACACTCACTAAACTACACCTACACTCACTACACTACACCTACACTCACTACACACTCACTAGTCTACACCTACACTCACTACACACTCACTACACCTACACTCACTACACACTCACTGGTCTACACCTATACTCACTACACACTCACTAGACTACACCTACACTCACTACACACTCGGCACTACAGCCTCACTACTCACTCAACATTAACTTAACGTTACAGCCTCACCACTATACAAAGCGCTACAAACTCACCGCTAAAGAATCACCGCTGTAGACTCACGAGACGTCGTATTATAGACAGAGCTGCATACTCACTAGACTAACTACACATACACTCACTACAGACTCGGTCCCACAGCCTCACTACACACTAAACATACACGGCGTTACAGCCCCATCGCGAACGACTCAGCTCTGCTGACTCCTCACCGCTATAGACTCAAGCCCTACAAGCCCACTGCTATAGATAGACTCAGCTATCCAGACTCACGGCTACAGACTCAGCTTTACGCACTCATCGCGACAGACGCAGCGCTACAGACGTACGGATACGGACTCACGGTCGACCCAACGCTATAGACTCAGCAGTTTAAACTCGCTGTAGACGCGGCACATTCGCGACTCGTCTGTCCGCAGCTATTTCGCGGATAAGAGGAGTCTACGCGGAAAACCAATTCCAGTTTGTATTTGCCATCTCGCACAACGGTGCATGATGATTGGTCATAATCATCAATTGATGAGCAACTGATTATTATGACTAAATGTATGTTGATGATAAATTTGTGATGCTGATGATGGCGACTATGATGAATTGATAATGACGGATTAATAGTTGTACAATTGATTTTTGTTGTTGCTGGGCAATGGACCCACTGAGCTCAAGTGCACCGGGCGCTGCATGAGATCCGCGTGTTCCCTGCACAGAGCAACAGAGAAAATGCGCGGAAGATGAGCGATGAGATAAGTGATAGAATGGAGATGGATTGTAGCATCACTAGACCGTGAAGGATGACACAGGGACGCCTTCATCCAGCACTGGATAGATAATCGAGGATGATGATGATGATGAAGATGGTAGTAACGGGAATTATTAATAGGGCGCTGATGCTGGTGATGGGTAGTAATATTGGTAAAGGTGACGATAATGGTGATGATGGTTGTGACGATCATCGTGCAGCACACCACACTCGACTTCGATTGTACGGGGCAATTCAGCAGATTTATATTTGTGTGGGAAATCCTCCTATTGACACTTATACACCAAGCCGTGGCATTTGGAAGCCATCCCCCGAAATGTTCACCTCTGATCTGCGATCGTTCTGCAGACCAGAGGAGTCAGCCGGATGTAGCAGCAAGTTGCTTCTGTTATCCACATTTATTTGCGAGTGACCGCGCAGGTAAGATAAATTAACTAGATAAATACGGTTAGCAGGATTTGCGAATAGCATCCTCCACTACACATATTGGATGTTTCGGTATATTTAATCGTCACTTTGGCAAAGGAGACTTGGCAAACAGCAGCTTGTGGTGTATCACTCGTGGTTCTGTTGTGACCTGGCTTGGATTGTGTTTCACTCTCACAATGTTTATTGGTCCATTTGTATTAACGAACAATGTATTAATATTTGTCTTTTGATTTTGCAGTCTACGTATCAAAATTTGCGGCAAAGGTTGGAAAATTTTGTTTCAAACCACCTGGCAGGTATCAAATGGAGTCCTTCTTTAAACAAAAGTCAACTGAGAAACAGCCTTCGTCAAACAATTCTCCAGTGAGTATGCCATCCTTGTGCAGTTGCCAGTTTTTGTATATCACTTACAGGTGATGTGTTTGCATTATCTGTTGCTCTCCATGAAAATAAATGCTGTAAGTTTTGAGTTATAGATACATGCCTTGTATATATGTGTACCATACAGCATAACACCACTTTAATTTAGGTCATATTGGGAGAATACAAAGCCAGAATTAAGTTTGGGGCTTAAGAGACCATTGTAAAAATTAAAAGTTTTTTATTTGCATTTCCCGTTAAGTTAAATTTGCTAAATTGCTTTAGTTTGTGCACTCATGGCTCCCAATAAGAGTTTGAACCGTTGCGGGTGGATGGACAAAAATATTTGATTTTCCTTGCGGCCCGCTCTGTAGTCTGAATAGCGCCAGACTCATCGCAAATGAGGTTAAGTGCAAATGGATTTAGCAGCAGTGGCAGTCACGTGAATCCACTACGAAAGCTGGATCGGAGTGTTTTACAGTTCCGTAACAGCTAAAATTAGAGTGGTCTTCACTTCATCTTGCCCATGATTGGCATCCATTGTGACTTTTAAAAAAACATTTAAAAGACAGTCTAACTTAGTTGCGTACAGCACAATAGGGCAATTCACTGTCAATGTTATCACACTGCCCTGTCCTCATCCACTCAGTGCCAAGTACTGATCTGAGTGGAGTTTTTCTTGATTCAACATTCATCTCCTTGGCTACTGCTAACTCAGCTAAGCACTTGGTTTTATTGCCTTTTGGTGAAGAAACGGTCACTGATTTTCAATTCATTTTTTAAAGCCCTGCTTAATGGAAGATTATTGACTCAAAACTACTTTAATCCTTTACAGCTGAATTCTATAGTCAAGTTGGCTCCTCTGATCTGGCAGAAAAAACATATTTGAATTGCTTCACCTATGCTGCCATGCGAAATATTTTCTGAGCTGTATATTTTGCTAGAGATTTATTTCAACAACTCTGTTTTCTTGTGTGTGTGTGTGTATGATGAGCGGCAGCACATTTGTTCACACACTGCACTCTGATCTCCGTGAGAATTAGGTTTGACTCTAGACCGGAAATTGCCGCAATCCTTAAAAACGCTAAGACACCTATTAGCAACATCATTAAAGATGAGCGCTTTGAGCTTTCTCAATTAAAAAAGAGATGACATCGTCATCCTCTCAGCCGACAAGGGCAATGCCACAGTTATGGACAAAACCGTGTACAATAACAAAATTCAGGACCTATTTAATGATGGTAGCTATACCAAAATTAAAAGAGATCTCACCAACTGCCTCGTTACGAAAACCAACAATATCATCACCGATTCGACATCTTTGATCAAACCAACCAAGCGGTTTTCCTTAAAACTCTCTGCTGCTAGACCACCCAGATTATTGTATGGCTTACCAGAAATCTATAAAGAAGGGACACCCCTTCGTCCTATTGTCTCCACCATTGACTCACCCACCTACAAACTAGCCTGATTTCTGTCTGAGACCTTACAACCATTCACTGGTAAGACCACCTCAGCTCACTTAGTATCGTTAATTAAGGACATCTCACTATCTCCAGGTGATTTGATCGTTAGTTTCGCTGTGGTCTCTTTGTTTACCAAAGTTCTTGTGCTTGACACAATTGCAATCATTGAAGATTTGGTCCAACAAGGATTGAATGCTGATGTACCGGCCCTGGTGAGACACTGCCTCACCAACACTTCACCTGGAATGGAACATTCTACAAACAAATTGAAGGTTCCCCAATGCGTTCTCCCTTATCTCCAGTTGTAGCCAATGTTTTCATGGAAAAATTTGAGACATGCCATCCAGGCATCCACTCTACGTCCGTCCTTGTGGAAGAGGCACGTAGATGACACGTTCGTCATCTGGCCACATGGCCGACCAACTCTTGAACCAATTCTTCAGCCACATCAATTCCATACACACAGCCATCAAATTCACCATGGAGGTGAAAAGGATGGCAAGTTACCATTCTTGGGTGTTTTAATCAAAAGGAGACCAGATGGCTCAATGGGACACTGTCTACAGGAAAGCCACCCATACGGATGCCGACCTAAAACCTGACTCCCACCACCATCCATCCCAGAAGAATTCCCTCATCAAAACTCTAAACCATAGAGCTCGATGTATTTCCGACCATCATCACCTAGCCAGTGAACTGGAACACGTACACCAAACCCTCAAGATGAATGGATATTCAGACTCCACAATCCGTAAAGCTATCACCCCAACCGTTGGGAAAGAACCATCTGAGGACCCAATCAAAACCATCACCTTGCATACATAGCAGGGGTCACTAAAAATATTTCCAAAATCATGAGCAAGCACAAGATCCAGGCTCGATTTAACACAGTACATACAATTCGGGATCTGATCCCATCTGTGAAGGATGTGACCCCTGACATGAAATATCCCGACGTCTACAGACTAAGCTGTGTCTGCGGCAGTTGTTACATTGGTGAAACTAAGAGACATGTCTCGGACCGTGTTTATAAATATAAGGCAGATCTGAAACACAGTAGGACCAATACCTCGGCCGTGGCTGATCATTGTTTTAATGCAGTGGGCTCACATGAAATGTATTTCTCTAAGACGAAGGTACTTTGCAAGCCCACTGGCTATCAACAAAGATTCGTTCATGAAGCTATCCATATATATAGACAGACACAATTTCAACCGAGAAGATGGGTACAAACTGTACAATCAATGGAAGGACGTTATCAACCAGTTTCAGTCATAATTGACTATGATCCCATCCTACCACCTTCCGATGTTGGTTGTGCTTTACGCCCATTTCAAACTTTCACAGTCACTTCGCACGCCGACCCCTTGGTTACGGCTCTGCGATCTTCCATTAACATGATAATCTCTCTTTAACATGCTAATTTTCACCTGGCAGCCCTTTGATTGGTGGAAAACGAACCACCGCCTGGCTTGCTGCTGAACACTTTATCATTGGCTGCTGACATTTGGGCTACGTCCATTTCAAACCCTTATAAACAGTTTCCCTTGGAAGCTAAGCCCCCCTTTTCCTGAAGACGACTGCTTGCGTTGCGATTGAAACGTCGTTTTTTGTTATTTTCTTTGAACCTCTCTACGTGATTTTACCGAAAGACCCAACAATATAATTTGACTCTAGACCTTGGAAAACTTCACTGGCAAGTGGTATAGAAACCTGTCCTGGGCCTTCCCAAAGTTGATACTGCATTAAATGAGTCGCTGGTGTGGTGTGTCAATATCAACATTGATTGGGGCGGCCAAGCATGCTGCTGGCCATACCACCTACTCACCCTTAACAGGTGCTGGTTAACAACACTTTTCCCTACAGGTTATAAGGCAAAAAAACATGTTTGTTTTTGTGCGTGTCCACTCGGCAGATCAACCATCCTAAAGGCCGCCTGTGTGGACCGGATTGTGCAGCAGGTGGTGAATTCTAAGATCAATGAGACATTTCGACCGCAGGTGGAGAGTGCTGTGCTTGAGTTTATTGGTGGCAGAGTTCCTTCGGGTCCAAAAGGAAAGACAGGGCAACCCTCCAATGGCCCAGGCGACTTGGATAAACCGCAGGAAGTGCCACAGTCCATCACAGGTACACGCGGAGCCTTTCAAATGGATCAAGCTTTTCCTTACCAGATGTCTCCTGTCCACATCAGTCCTACAGCTGTATATGAGTGTGCCATTCAGTATTCATACCTCGTGTGGCTCTTAACTTAAAATTGTGATAGGGTACCTCGATAAATGTGACTGGGTATGATGCCAGTCAGCATTTTTTGCTTCTGTATTTTGTGCATTATACTATGAATCCAGTAACCTGAGTAATTCCTCGCCACGGCTAGTATCAGTGGTGAGTGATATTTGCATTGGTCATGAGCACCCTTCGCTAACCCACACTGACCAGCATGACGCGATGTGGTTAGTCAAACCTCGTGACTGATACACAGTGATGAGGCTTTAATCCAGCAGTGAAATGGCAAAGGGCAGAGTTTATTTTCTAAGTATTGTCTGTAAGCCAAATCTAATACAGTAAATACGATGTCCCTCAGAACTGCAACAATGAATTGTTTCCCATCTCTTAGATGTACCCCCCTCCACTCCAAGCATCAGTTTGGCCAGCGATGCACAGTCAATCCTTGACTCTATTACATCCATGAGCAGCACCAGCTCAAGCAGCTCCAAGCACCCAGCTGCAACTTCAACCGCCACTGCCACCGCCACCGCAACGGTATCGTCTCCCACCTACAAACAACAGCCGGACACCAGCAAAGGAGCCTTGCCAGAAAAGAACAACTCTCAGTCGCCAGTCACTTCTGATGTGTCCAGTCCCCTGCCAGAAAGTACCAAGGCAGATGTTATAGAAAATACGACCAATCCAATGACGCCTGATGAATTGATGCATTCAAAAATTATTGACGAACTGATGAAGGATGGTATGTGTGAGCTGCCCGTTTCGTTGCTACTGCAGCCATCGGCATCGAGTAAACAGTCTCACAGCAACAAGGCTGAGAAGCAGGCTGTGTCGTCGCTTCCCAGTGCTGCGCCTCTAAAACCCAGCGCAGATCCTCTGAAAACAGCGGCGTCTGAAAAGGCATCAGATCAACTACAAGCAAGCACCAGTGTGTCTACGCCTACGAAAGCCTTTGCTGAAAGCAGCAAAGGAAGTTGCTCCACGGTCAGGGCCAGTAGGAGGGCAGAATCGGCGGATAGCAGCAAACTTATGCGTTCAGTGTCCCCCGCACCTCCTCTGCTCATAAAGGAGCACCACCTTTTTGCCGAAGATGGCAAGGACGGCGCAACGGAGGAGATCGTGGACATGAAACCGAAAGATATACCACCCACGCTGCAGAGGTGCGTGTCATCTGAGCTGAGTAGAGATGCAAAGAAGAGCAAGAAGCTTGACAGAAGCCCCAGTGTGGTGAGTGATTGGAAGCACAGTATATTCATAATCTATGCGAATTTAATATCTGGTATTCAGTACTGCTTTTTTTATTTTTAGATTTTTGGTGATTTATCACATTAGTATGTGTGTGTAACTTGAAGAGCAGTGAAAGAAATTACTTAAAGGATTAATATTTTTTTTCATTTACTTTTGTTGTGTGTGGTAGGTTCGGAAGGAATCCAAAGACGAGAGGATGGATCGAAAGGCATCTATGAAGAAAGAAGACAAGAAAGTGGAAAAATCACTTTTCAAAAAAGATGATGCTGGGAAGAAGGCGGGCGTGTCTGAGGATTCTAAATTTAAAGCGGAGAAGTCGGATGCAAGCAGTGATGATAAATCGGACTCTCGCAAAGACATTTCAGCAATCAAAGCATTGGCAAAGGATAATCTTAAAAAAGGTACGGAGCTAATCCTTTTTTTTTGCCACAGGGTAAACAAAAAACTTAACTTTGTCTCATTGAACAATTAGTCAGCCTATATATTCGCAAAGTGGCAATCGGTGGCCAAGTATTTAAGAGCATTTTATAACTATTGTAAGCCAGCATCAAATTCCGCCCCCCCCACCCCCCAAGTGCTGCGGTCCTGCATATGTTTTGGTAATATGATTGTTTAAATGTGGGAGAAAACCCACACATGCGAGGGAGCAACACTGTCCCATGCAGATGGAACAAGTGGAGCCCACATTTGCTTTATCGCTTTCTTGTGGTGAGCCGGGGTATGGCACTTCAGTGACCACGGGAAGGGAGTTTCACCAAATTTTTGTGATCCACTAATCCTCGCTGTCTCCACAGTGCTTGGTTACAGGCGTGCACCACCATCGCCAAGCTAAATTAAAATATATGAAGTGCAAATGATGTACCGGAAAATAGATACATCTCAAGTGCATTATCATTGGCTTTATCTTAAATCCCACCTGTTGGAAGGAGAATGAAGGCATGTTGAATCTGTTACCTAAACCCAAAATAGATTTTCAAACCTTTGGTATGTTGTCTGTGACAGCGTGCTACTGGATAGTGATTAAGATTACATTTAAATCGGGTAACTAACCGAATCGCCCGAAATGTGCCCAATCCTGTCACATTTTTGAAATTCAGCGGGCTTGAGCCTGGTCAGTGCTTAGATGAGTGAACACCATGCACAATCCAGCACTGTGGAGGCAACGGGTTTTCAATATAGATTTAATAGTGCATATCTCCACTGGCTTTATAATATCGGAAGGGGCTCTGCACTTTTAAATCTAGATTGAAAACTCATTTTATTAGAACTGCTTTTTGTGTTTGGTTTGTTGTCCTTCCCCGCACCTCTGATTAGCACGGTTTGCTATGTACGGTGTGAAAGAAGTTCAACATACATACATGCATGCACTCATAGTTATGCGGGGCTAGGTTATGAGCAGTAGAGCAAAATCCATGGAACTGCACATGTATTCTCTCTACCTTCACCAACCCACACTGACCAGTATGGTGAAATATGGTAAAATAATCTCCATGATCTGTACAGTATGGGGAGCCCCTCATTCAGATAATAATGGGGTGATCTTGCATATGATTAGATAACATTTAATGTACAAGTCTCTCCTTGCTGAAAATATTTGTATCAGAACTCAACAGTCCTGAGCGAGTGCTGAAATGCCATATATCCAAGGTGCAGCCATTCTCTCAAAATGACACTCACTTTTGTCTTCTCACAAAGTGGTACTCATTGTAGTGTCCCTCAAGGGGTGATAGACTGAGTCATCCCCTGACCAGAGTTAGAACACAAGCTTCCTATTTTGTGGCAACCGTGAAAATCACATTGCCACGCAGCCATATGACTGAATGTAGATTTGCAGTTGAATTGTTAGTCATTACTCCAAGCCGTTTGCTCAGTTGCTTTCTCCGTGTGTCACTTCTGTTCAGAGTACTCGCTGCAAGACTCGGACCTGGAGCAGCTGAGCGACATCTCTGTGAGCTCCGTGCACACCAGTGACTTGTCTTCCTTTGACAGCGAGGACAGCGATGCTGGCCAAAACAAAGAATCCCAGGCAAATGATGAAGGTGTGTATTTTATATCCACTTTTTTATAGGGTTTCCCCCCCAATTTTATCCTGATTGCACTTTAGATGTCATGTCGTGATGCAAAGTCTTCATTTGGATCTCTCGCAGAGCAGGGCAATGCTTCGTGGAAGTGGATATTGCAAAATTACTTTGAGATCCCTGCTAATCTGTACAGAAGGGGGCACTACAGGGTAATACTTGTCACATGACATTCAAACCAATGTTGTAATTAATATTTTCGTAGCCGTAATGAATCCATTTAAGTTCAAAACCAAATAAAATGTTACTTTTCTGTGTTGACATTGGTGACTGGGCTGGAAACATCAATTCACTCTACTTGATAACCTTGTTTAATTACAGGCAGCTGCCTGGATTCTTATCCAAGATTTTAGCAGTGCCAGTGCAGCGCTCTGACCTTTCAGCAACCTGGTTACCTTTTATTTTCTCCCCTTTTAAAGGAAGAATGATGGTGGCGTATGGTGCTGTTTTATTGCAAATTGATGCGATGTGTGGCATGTACTGAAGTTATCAATTTGGCCGTCAAATCAAAAATGTTCTTAACGCTACCCAATTGGGCCATAGCAGTTGCAAAAATATCCTGCAGGCATGAATAGATGAATACAGTGGTATTCATTATACCACCAATTCACTATGAACCCGGTGACCCGAATTTTATTCCCAGCTGGGTCTAACATCAGTGGTAAGTGACATTTGAACCAGTCTGATCTGCCACCCACTTATTTCACCAACATGCACTGACCCACATTTTGATGAATGGTCAAACAACTCCATGATCTACATACACAACATGGGGAGGCCTTCCTCCAGCAGTGGTTTGGCAAAGTATTTAAAAGTATTATAGTTGTAAAGTTGTAACCCAAAAGTAAAATATCCTGTCTTGTAATTTTGCACTCCGTAAGCCAGTAATAAATAATTGACTTCTCAATTGTTATGTTTATGACACATGCATACAATTGTGTGGGCAAAATGGATGATTTCTAATTTATGCAAGTAATCACATTACATATACACTATGTAATGTGATTACATAGTTTATGCAAGGCCCACTGGGCTATATAGCTCTTTTTCATAAGTGACCTGGCCACAAATGATAGCTCAAAGAGAAATGGCTTATAAATATGGAAATGAATAGCAGCCAAATACTTTAAACGCATGTTTCTAAATGTGGAGGGAAAAACTGGAGGACCCAAACAAATATATACGCGATCACAGGGAGAACATGCAAACTCCAAATATACAGACGTCAGGGTCGGGATCGAACCCACAACCATCTGTATACCAGACGAGGTAGTTAACATCTCGCCCCACAGTATTACTGTTCAAACAGAACAAATGAAGAACATTATGTACGAGGGTGTAAAAGCGAGACAATTTATCCATGACTGAATTGTGGCAAGTCATCTCATTGCAGAGGCATGAATTGCTACATGCCCCATAGCAAGGCAGTGCCCTGGACTTTTTGATACGTTTATCAAAAGCTTAATTCATATAAAAATTTACTTTAAATTCAAGGTCAGACACTCTGTCAAAGAGACGTTACTGCATTGCTTTATAAAATGAATGGGAGGATGCATCAGTAAATTGCCAAAAGGAAGTATGTGACCTCAACAGAAAGGGTTTTTTTTATTTTGTGTCAAAACTTCAGACAGCACCAGAACAAAGCCTAGGTATAATGTACATATCTACATAAGAGTTCCTTGCTGTTTTGCATTTCCCTTGGACTAAGGATACTCGCTTTCCTTCATATACCCTTCATTGCTTCAACTCTGCCTCGGCTCTTGGTGTACTTGTCTAACGTTGTTGAATCTGACCAATTAGACGTGAAGGACAAACAAGAGGACAAGAAGGTGATCCAGGTGAAGGCTTCCCGCACTTCCTACGTGCGCAAGCCCTTCCTCTACTCCAGATATTACAGCGACTCCGACGACGAGAACACCGTGGAGCAGTGTCGGCAGAAGATCGTAAGCAGATCGAGGCCAAGGCTTCACTTAAATGGGGGCAGTGCTAGATTATCCTAGTAGCAGAAGTAGCTACAAATGCTACGGGGACCCTGCACTTTCAAGGGCCCCGCGCTAAACGCTTTCAAGCTATCAATTCCATTTCAATGATACTGCATTTGCTCTATTACGATAGTAGTATTCTGCCTTCAACTTTTATGAACGACTGGGTGTTTAAGGTTAGCGATTTGTCATATTATCTGGCTGTATAGTAAATGAAAAATATAATTATTTTACTATGCAAGTATTATTTTTTTTATATATTTCTGTGTGTTTTTTTAAATTTAGGGCCCTTTTATAACATTTCTACAGGCCCCCACACTAGCTTAATCCGCACTGAATGGGGGGTCATTTTACAGGAATATGTAGCTACCCTCCTTCCTTTGCCCTCAGCTACTCCTGTCATTCCAAATAGTTTTTTTTTTTACTATGTTATATTCCATCATTCCTGTACATTTCCATACATTCGTCAGTCTTTTCTGGGAGAAGTATGATAAAAGATATTTATTTTCACCACCTTTCCAAATACCTCTCTCTTCATGGTCTCCTTATACAACCTGGTATCGATTGAGGTCATTCTCCAGAGGATACTCTTCTCAAATTGACGTTACTGCATTGCCTTTGGGGTGCAGCTGGGGCAAGATAATATCTCCCTCGTGTGGTATGCAGGAGGTCATGCGTTTGGTCCCAACCCTCACGCCTGTATATTTGGAATTTGCATATTCTCCCTGTGGTCATGAGGATTTTATCTCTGGGTCCTCTGGTTTTTCCCTCTATATTTAGAAACATGTATTTAAATAATTTGCCTGCTACTATAAATTCCCACATGATGAAAGGCACTTCGTTGAGCTATCATTTGTGGCCAGGCTGCCTCTGAAAAAGAGCTAACAACTCAGTGGGCTTTACCTGGTAAATAGTATAGTTTACCTTTTTTTCTGTTTTACTCTCCTATGTAGTCAATGACCTACTCTCCTATGAAAATGGATCCTTTTCACTCCTCCGTCTCCTAGACCGCACTGCTGCTTGTAACATTTCAACGCCGCCATAGATATGTAGGTGTCTCCAGCACACTTGTGACCTGGTTCTTCTCTTACCTCTTAAACATTCCATTTGCTCAAATCCCCCTGGGATATGATGTGTCAAGAAGGATCCATCCTCAGCCCACTGCTCTTCTCAATATATTTATTTCCACTGAGTCAAAATAATTTCCAGCTTCAATGCCAATTACCAATTCCATGCTAGCGACACCCAGCTGTGAATCTCTATTGATTCCTTTTCACCCAAGCTTATGACATGCGGTCTCATCCTGGACTAGTTCAAAGTTTTTCCAGCTGAAAGCTGCCAAAACTCAATTCTTCCTCATTTGCAAAAATGTGTTCTGTCGGCAACGTCTTCCACCTTGGAGTGTGCACCTCCCGGACTCGAATATATCACGCTGGCTTAAGGGTATACAAAATCTTGGGAGTTGCCATCGACACCGAGCCAGACTTGTGCTCCCACGTATCCTGGCTCTTCAGGGGCCTGCTACCTTCACCGATGGAAAATCTCTTGCATCTGCTGATTCCTTGCCCCATCGACTGCTGCAACCCCTGTCCCCCCTGCCTGCATCAACCCTTCCCTTGGTTATTTAACTGCCTACTCTACGGCCTTCCCAAATCCCGCACCCTCACCAACTTCAAAATCGATCAAATATGCCATTTCCAAAACTCATTACCTGCGTCTCTTTTCCCTGCCCCTGTTCAAGTTTAGGCTCAAGACTTCCTCTGCCAAGGACTTAAATGTCTTTTCTATGTTCTATGTGCCTCTTTGATGGACATAAAGAATGCATATGTGTTGTAATTGCGTTTGAATAAACCGCTCATGTGTACGTGACGCACATTGGTGCAGGCCAAGGATAAGGAAGAACGGCTAAAGAAGAGGCAACGAAACCGCGAGAGGCTGGAGGAGAAGCGCAAAAAGACGGTGACGGACAAAGAAAAGCTGAAACAGAAAAAGCCAGAAGATGGTTTGTTGACTGCATCGCATGCGGCGCAGCGTAGCGGTCGAATATTTCTCTTGGATGCTATTTGTCACGTCATATTACGTTTCTGTCGGTTTTTTGGGTCCTTTTTCCACATAGGTACAAAAGGTTATTTCTTTGGCGACCCTTTTTCCATCTCCCAGGAGTGTGCCGTTACAAAATAAATAAAACAACCCCTCTAAATATTGCATCAAATCAGGATTCGCGTTCCGATGCCACGCTGGGGAAAACATGGGTCAACTCATTTCGTCGCATGTTGTGAAGTTTAAATGAAATGCCGCAGTGTCGGCATTCTGCATGCTCGTGTAAAATTATTCTCGACACCTCGTACCCGTTAACCCGACTTTTTTGTTTGGCTGCCACTGTATGATTTAGTACGGAGCAGGCTTTTTTTTTACCAGCAGTGCTTTATATAACACATTTGAATGTTAAGCTGCTCTTGTGTCCTGGTTGTATTCTGCAGCATCCTTAAATGTCAAGTCGCAGGGGGAGCCTCAGAACACGGGCACAATGAAGGAGACCCTAAAGGAGCTAAAGGCCCTGGAAAAGAAAATGGCTCTGAAAATCCACAATGAAGGGAAAAAAAGGTATTGTGTTTTTGTTGCAATGAAATTCATTGGTTGCGCAAGGCACCTTTGGAGGCTTCACCGAACATTGAGTCATTCCATCAGAGCTGCTGATACATTCGTACAACCATGTGATTTTTTCTATCTTTTAGCATTTAGAACATGTGTCTGTGGGAAAATGTTAAACATTGTGAGGTGAAATCAAGAAACTAGTTGTGCACTCGCATGGTCTAATGATGCGAAATAAAACGGATTTCTAATGTTACCGCTTTTAAATGTCTGTTTAGGATTTTTTTAATCATTGTCATTTATTACCGTTATAATGGTGATGTTATCAGTGAATCTGAGGTGGCCAATTTTTTCACCTTCATGCCTTTATTTCTCCAACCTAGCTTTTGGAATATATCCTCTATTGTTGCTGCAAATAGTATTGCTGAAGGCATATCTCCTTGCCAGACTTCTCTTGATATCTACTTTGTTGTTTTATCTATGCAGTCTAGGTATAGCCGTTATATCTTGGTAAATGATTTTGATAAGTTCGATCGTTTGTTTGCGTTAAAGCAGTGTTTTGTGTGAGTTTGAAGAAATTAATATTTTTACTGAATAAAATGCCTTTTCGTAGTCGACAAAAGCTAGGTATAATGATATTTCATATTCATTGGTCTTTTCTTGAATCTGATTTGTAATATGTATGCAGTCAATAATAGAAAAACATCTCAATCCAGCATCCTCGCATGGTGGGCTGGTCTCTTCCTTGTCCATTATTCAGTTATCTATTAACCTTTTAACTCGAATACATGCAATAAGATGCCAATGAGTCTGTAAACCTTCACATTAGTTTTGTCTCCTTTTGGAATACAATATAAGTAGAATGAGGTCTGCTAATTTCTTGACCAAACAGCTGGCCCTACAACTTGGCTGACTAAATTACTTGACGAAGAAGGCTGCAAAGTGGGGCTTTTGATAAATATGAGCAAAACAAAAGTAATGTACAACAGGTTTGCTGAACAAAAGGAAATCACCGTTGGAACTAAATATGAATTACTCGGTAGGCTATTTTGTAAATGCACTCAGGCAGGTATGGTCTGCAGTCACCCTGAGCATTCATGTGGTTCTTTTTCCTCCTTAGGACCAAACCCAAGGAGTCGTCTGTGCTGCCACCAGATACCCATAAAAGAAAGCGTGAAAACTCAGAGCAAAGTGAAGAGGTTAGACATTCATTACACCTATAACTGAGCTAAGCCTTTTAAATAAATCTGTCTACCATCTGGCAGCATATGGCAGTATGTGAACAGCCTGTTCAGCCTCTGGCAGTGGATTTATATTTAAAGCATAATTGTTGAGAATGTATGTTTTTAGTCACCCTCATGAATAGTTGTATTAATCTTGGAACACAGATTACATGTTTGCATGCATTCCTTAATCTCGATCTATACTACTCCCCTTAACTGAGATGCCATTAACAAACTGGAAAATATGTTTGTTTGTAGCAGAGGAGTGCTAAGAAGAGTCGAAATGAAGACTCTGACAGCAAGAAAGAGAGTCACAGTGAGCAGGTGAAGCACAAGGACAGGGACTTCAGGAAATCCCTCGATTTCAAGGATCGTAAGCGCTCCATCAGTGTGTCCTCGACAACGTCTCGCTCTCCATCCGTGGAAGATAAAGGAGATTTTCCTCAACGGAGAACAGAGAAGTTGCACTCCAGAAGCAGGGAGAGGACTGCCGAGGATGGTTCCGGCAGGGAAGCTGGAAAAACGGCAAAAGACTCCGAAGGGTCGGCTAAACATGAAAAGTTGTCCAGGAGGCCGAGTGAAAAAGAGCAGAAGTCTATGAAGCCGACTAAGAAGGACGGTGAAGGCACTCAGAGGTCTGATGGTCGGGAGAAAAAGACTCCTTCTAGCGGAAGCAAGTTAATGCCAAAGCTGAAATCTTCCGGAGATGGAAAGCCCTCGGTGTCTGATAAAGCGAAGAAATTGTCCAGGGTGGAGCATTCCCATGGTACAAACCATCCTTTGCTGAAGACAAAAGACAAACAAAGCAGTTCCAGAGTCCTGGAGAAGAGTGGCGAGCCTGCTCCAATTAAAAGCAAGGATGGCAAGGCGGATGGTGGTCGAGGTAGTGAGAGAGAAGAGAAATCCGCTACAGTCAGCAGGAGGCCGTCGAGCAAAGGTGTCCCACCGAGCGTTTCTAGCACAAGGACGTCTTCACCAACGGCCGACAAGGCAGGTCGAGGAGAAAAGAAGAAATCTCACGGCATGCAGCGGGCATCCTCGAGCCCCTCTGACCAACAGCGTTCGGAGAACAAAGAGCGAAGCGCTGCGCACAAATCCAACACTTCTTCTGGCACCCGCAAAGGCTCTTCAAGTGGTCTGCCAAAACCACACAAAGGCCAAGCTTCAGCGCATACGGCGAAACCAACAGAGTCATCCAAGCCATCGTTGGCCGCCGCAGTGGAGGAGGACAAACGAGGTACTGCAAAATCCAAAGAGAATCTACTGACGAGTGATGGCACTGGTGCTGCGTCTGAAATAGTGGCCAATGGCAGCAAGAGCAAAGGTAAAGAGCCTGTTGTTGCTGCAGAGACATCACCGGAGAGTGCCACTCTCACTTTGGTCATCAGCCCTGAAACGAATGTTGAACTAGAAAGAGTGTGTGCGCTTGAAGGCGTTGGAAAGCCGCGTGCCCCAGATGACGCTATAAGCGCAGGGAATGCTGAGCATGCTTCACCAGAAGATGACTCCAACGAACTGGCGATTACCAGCGTGGATAAAGAACAGTCGCGACGACCTGCAATGGCATCGCCGGCAAGGGAAGCAGGCATTGGGCCCTGTGCAGATACGGACGCGGTGGAACTTGAGACCATGAAAGCACAGGAAGAGATTTTGAACTCCATGGAGCCAAACACAAATGTCTCTCCTCTCAATGGGCCCCCAAAGCCCGACGAGCAAAATAAGGCTTTAAATGCAGATAGCACCACTGAGAAAACTGTTGCGACATTGACTTCAACTGACCAGGCTCTGCAAGAGAGTGTAAATACAACAGCTTCCAGCACACCCACTGATAGAACTGCCGACCGTACAGCAGCAGCAGAGGCTGAACGTTCAATGGATAAAATGGACGTCACTGCTTTAGTTATCGCCAATGTTACCGCTACTGTAACAGATAGCGTTGAAATTGTTGGCAGGATTGACAGCGCTCCTGATACCAGTGCAACAGGTGTTGCTTACATTGGTGGTGGTGGAATGGAAACTGCCGATGTTGCTGATGGAGCAAACGCTGCTGATGTTGTGGGGGCAGTAGCTCATGCCAGTGTTACTTGTGCTGCAGGTGAATTGAATGTTGCCAGTACAGCAGATGGTTATGTTGCATTTAGTACAGCAGATGATGCCAGTGATGTTAAAAGTGCAGCAGAAAGTGTCAGTGTTTCCCATACAGCAGATAGTGCTGTTGTTACTGGCGAAGCAGATGGTATTGATGCTACCTGTGTCGCAGATACAACTGATGTTACTAGTGCTGTAGATGATGCCGATGCAACGAGTGCAGCAGATAGTGCTGGTGTAACTAGTGCCGATGAAATTGTCAGTGTTTCAAGCGCAGCAGCCAGTACTAATGCTGTTAGTGCAACGATCAATGCTATTGCTACCTGTGCAGCAGATAATGCTGATATAACCTGTGCAGCAGATACTACTTTTGTATTGGCTGCAACAGCCGATACTGATGCAACTTGTGTAACAGATACTGCTGTTCCTGGTACAGCAGATAGTGCTGATACCACTTGTGCAGGAGAAGCTGTCAGTGCTTCCGGTACAAAAGATAGTGCTGGTGCACCCAGTGCAGCTGATCGGGCTGATGCAACTGGGGCAGCAGATAGTGTCACAGCGGAAGTGGTCAGTGTTTCAAATGTAGCAGACAGTGTTTATTTAACTGGTACAGCAGATCAGGCCAATGTAAATTTTGTAGAAGATAGTATTGATGCAGCTTGTGCAGTAGATAGTGATGCAATGGAAAGTGTCAGTGCTTCAAATGCAGCAGACATTGCTGTGCATGCAGCAGACAGTGCTGTTGTAACTACTGCAGAAGATCACACTGATGTAACTTCTGAAACTGATAGTGCTGAAGTAACTGGTACCGCTGATCACACTGATGTAATTTGTGCAACACACAGTGTTGTTGCAACCGGTGCAGCAGACAGTGGTGATGTAATTGGTGCAGCAGATAGCAGTGATGTAACTGGTACAGTCGAGAGCAATGATGAAACTTGTGCAACAGACACCAATGTTAGAACTGGTGCAGCAGACACCAATTTTAGAATTAGTGCACCAGACACCAATTTTAGAATTAGTGCACCAGACACCAATTTTAGAACTGGTGCCGCAGACACCAATGTTAGAACTGGTGCGGCAGACACCAATGTTAGAACTTGTGCAGCAGACACCAATGTAACTTGTGCACCAGACAGCAGTGTTGGAACTCCTGCAGCAGACAGAGATGTTGCAACTGGTATAGCAGACAGCAGTGATGTAACTGGTGCAGCGAACAACAATGTTACCTCTGCAGTAAACAACAATGTTGTTACCTCTGCAGCAAACAACAATGTTGTTACCTCTGCAGCAAACAGAAATGTTGTTACCTCTGCAGCAAACAGCAATGTTGTTACCTCTGCAGCAAACAATAATGTTGTTACCTCTGCAGCAAACAGCAATGATGTTACTGGTGTAGCAAACAGCAATGTTGTTACTGGTGTAGTAAACAACAATGTTGTTACCTCTGCAGCAAACAATAATGTTGTTACCTCTGCAGCAAACAATAATGTTGTTACCTCTGCAGCAAACAGCAATGATGTTACTGGTGTAGTAAACAACAATGTTGTTACCTCTGCAGTAAATAACAATGTTGTTATCTCTGCAGTAAACAATGTTGTTACTGGTGTAGTAAACAACAATGTTGTTACCTCTGCAGTAAACAACAATGTTGTTATCTCTGCAGTAAACAACAATGTTGTTACTGGTGTAGTAAACAACAATGTTGTTACCTCTGCAGTAAACAACAATGCTGTTACCTCTGCAGTAAACAACAATGTTGTTACTGGTGTAGTAAACAACAATGTTGTTACCTCTGCAGCAAACAGCAATGTTGTTACTTGTACAGAAAACAGCATTGTTGTAACTTCTGCAGAAAACAACAATCTTGTAACAAGTGCAGAAAACAGCATTGTTGTAACTTCTGCAGAAAACAACAATCTTGTAACATGTGCAGTAAACAGCAATGTTACCTCTGCAGCAAACAGCAATGTTGTAACCGGTGCAGCCAACAGCAATCTTGTAACAAGTGCAGAAAACAGCAATGTTGTAACAAGTGCAGCAAACATAAATATTGTAACCTCTGTAGCAAACAGCAATGTTGTTACTTGTACAGAAAACAGCATTGTTATAACCTCTGCAGAAAACAGCAATCTTGTAACAAGTGCAGCAAACAGCAATGTTACCTCTGCAGCAAACAGCAATGTTGTAACCGGTGCAGCCAACAGCAATCTTGTAACAAGTGCAGAAAACAGCAATGTTGTAACAAGTGCAGCAAACATAAATATTGTAACCTCTGTAGCAAACAGCAATGTTGTTACTTGTACAGAAAACAGCATTGTTATAACCTCTGCAGAAAACAGCAATCTTGTAACAAGTGCAGCAAACAGCAATGTTACCTCTGCAGCAAACAGCATTGTTCTAACCGGTGCAGCCAACAGCAATCTTGTAACAAGTGCAGAAAACAGCAATGTTGTAACAAGTGCAGCAAACATTAATATTGTAACCTCTGTAGCAAACAGCAATGTTGTTACTTGTACAGAAAACAGCATTGTTGTAACCTCTGCAGAAAACAGCAATCTTGTAACAAGTGCAGTAAACAGCAATCTTGTAACAAGTGCAGAAAACAGCAATCTTGTAACAAGTGCAGAAAACAGCAGTGTTGTAACTTGTGCAGCAAACAGCATTGTTGTAACTTGTACAGAAAACAGCATTGTTGTAACCTCTGCAGAAAACAACAATCTTGTAACATGTGCAGAAAACAGCAATGTTACCTCTGCAGAAAACAGCATTGTTCTAACTGGTGCAGCCAACAGCAATCTTGTAACAAGTGCAGAAAACAGCAATGTTACCTCTGCAGCAAACAGCATTGTTCTAACTGGTGCAGCCAACAGCAATCTTGTAACAAGTGCAGAAAACAGCAATGTTGTAACAAGTGCAGCAAACAGCAGTGTTGTTACCTCTGCAGCAAACAGGAATGTTGTAATCTGTGCAGCAAACAGGAATGTTGTAACTGGTGTAGCTGACAGAGATTTTTCAACTAGTGCAGATGAAAGCGATGTTGTAACTGATGCACTAAACAGCAATGTTGTAACTTGTCCAGGAGACAGTGATGTTCTAACATGTGCAGAAAACAGCGATCTTCTCGCCTGTGCAGCAGACAGCGATGTTGTAACTGGTGGAGCAAACGACAATGTTGTAACTTTTGCAGAAAACAGCGATGTAACTTTTACAACAGATAGAGATGTTGTAACTTGTGCAGCAAAAAGTGAAGTTGCAACTGGTGCAATAGACAGTGATGTAACAGTGGCAGCAGACAGAGATGTAACCTGTGCAGAAAACACCGATGTTTTAACTTGTGCAGGAGACAAAGGTGTAACCTGTGCAACGGACACTGGTGATGTTGCTGGTAAAGCAGATAGCGATGGTGTAACATGTGTAGCAAACAGTGATGTAACTTGTGCAGAAAACAAAGATGCAACTGGTGCAGTGGACATCGATATTGCAATCTGTGCAGCTGACTGCAATGTTAAAACTAATGCAGCAGACAGCGATGTTGTAACCTGTGCAGCAGCCAGCGATGTAACTGATGCAGCAGACAGCAATATTGCAGCTGGTGCAGCAGATAGCAATGTTGAACCTGGTGCACCAGATAGCAATGTTGAACCTTGTGCAGCAGATAGCAATGTTGAACCTGGTGCAGAAGACGGTGATGTAACTTCTGCAGAAAACATAGATGTAACTAGTGCAGCAGACAGCGACGTTGCAACTTGTGTAGCTGACAGCATTGTTGTAACTTGTGCAGCAGACAGTGATGTTGCAACATGTACATCAGACAACGATGTTGTAACTAATGCAACAGATAGCGATATTGTAATTGGTGCAGCAGATAGTGATGAATCTCGTGCAGAAAACAAATATGTAACTAGTGCAGCAGACAGCGATATTGCAACCAGCGCAGCTGACAGAATTGTTGTAACTTGTGCAGCATCCAGCGATGTTGCAACTTGTGCAGAAAACAGCGATGTTGCAACCTGTGCAGCGGACAGTGATGTTGCAACATTTACAGAGGACAGCATTGTTGTAACCGGTGCAGCAGTCAGTGATGTTTTAACTTGTGTAGAGGAGAGCGATGTTGTAACTTGTGCAGCAGACAGTGATGTTGTAACTGGTGCAGCAGACAGTGATGTTGTAACCGGTGCAGCAGACAGTGATGTTGCAACCTGTGCAGCAGATAGCAATGTTGAAACTTTTGCAGCAGACAGTGATGTTGCAACTCGTGCAGAAAACAGTGATGTTGCAACGTGTGCAGCGGACAGTGATGTAACTTGTACAGAAAACAAAGATGTAACTAGTGCAGCAGACAGCGATATTGCAACTCACACAGCTGACAGTATTGTTGAAACTCTTGCAGAAGACGGCGATGTTGTAAATTGTGCAGCAGACAGTGATGAATCTGGTGCAGAAAACAAAGATGTAACTAGTGCAGCAGACAGCGATATCGTTACTGGCGCAGCTGACAGAATTGTTGAAATGCGTGCAGCAGCCAGCGATGTTGTAACTTGTGCAGCAGACAGTGATGTTATAACTAGTGCAGCAAACAGAGATGTTGAAACTACTGCAGAAGACAGTGATGTAACTTGTGCAGCAGACAGCGATGTTGCAACTGGTGCAGCAGACGGCGGTGATGTAACTGGTGCAACAGATAATGTTGAAACTTGTGCAGCAGACGGTGATGGTGTAATCTGTGCAGCAGATAGCAATGTTGAAACTCGTGCAGCAGACAGTGATGTAACTTGTACAAAAAACAAAGATGTAACTAGTGCAGCAGACAGGGATATTTCAACTAGTGCAGCTGACAGCATTGTTGCAACTTGTGCAGCAGCCAGCGATGTAACTTGTGCAGCAGACAGTGATGTTGTAACTAATGCAGCAGATAGCGATATTGTAACTGGTGCAGCAGATAGCAATGTTGAAACTGGTGCAGCAGACAGTGATGAATCTTTTGCAGAAAACAAAGATGTAACTAGTGCAGCAGACAGCATTGTTGAAACTTGTGCAGCAGCCAGCGATGTTGTAACTTGTGCAGCAGACAGCGATATTGTAACTTGTGCAGCAAACAGCAATGTTGAAACTTCTGCAGAAGACAGTGATGTAACTTGTGCAGCAGACAGTGATGTTGCAACTGGTGCAGCAGACAGTGGTGATGTAACTGGTGCAACAGATATAAATGTTGAAACCTGTGCAGCAGACGGTGATGGTGTAACCTGTGCAGCAGACAGTGATGTTGCAACTTGTGCAGCAGACAGTGGTGATGTAACTGGTGCAACAGATATAAATGTTGAAACCTGTGCAGCAGACGGTGATGGTGTAACCTGTGCAGCAGACAGTGATGTTGCAACTGGTGCAGCAGACAGTGGTGATGTAACTGGTGCAACAGATATAAATGTTGAAACCTGTGCAGCAGACAGTGATGTAACTCGTGCAGTAGTTAGTGGCGATGTAACTTGTGCAGCAGATATAAATGTTGCAACTAGTGCGGCAAACAGAGCTAGTATAACAAGTGCAGGAGACAGCGGTAATGTCACTGGTGCAACAGACAGAGGAGATATAACGTGTGCAGCAAACAGTCATGTAACCTGTGCAGCAGACAGAGACGTTGTAACTGGTGCGACAAACAGTGATGTAACTGGTGCAACAGACTGCGACGTTGTAACTAGTGCAGCAAACACCGATGTTATAACCTGTGCAGCAGAAATAGTTGTTGTTTCAAGTGCAGCAGATAGTAACGTTGAGACTGGTGCAGAAGACAGTGATGTTGGGATTTGTGCAGCAAACTGTGCAGATTTCGTCGGCTCAATGAATAACACAACCCATGTCACCACAGCATCTTGTGTTCCCACTGAAAGCCTTCCAAGCAGCAGCAGCAGCCCTGTCAATGAAACGAATGGAAAGAAGTTGGAAACCCCAGAAACACTTGCTACATCAACAAATCAAGGCATTGGCATTTCAAGCCCCAAAGACCAAGCCTCGACTCCAGCCGTCACTCAAAGCCCTGTGACACTCACAGAATCCTGCACGCCCACTCTGGCCTCTGAGGCCCCATCACAAGGCGAAAATGAAAAGACCCTTCTTGAGACTGAAGGTAGTAGAATTGAGCAAGTGGAGGCTGCTGTGGAGGCTGCTGTCGAGGAGGCTGTACACCTTGACTCTACAGAAGCTAAAGCTGAAGGACTAAAAGATGCTGATCAAGTGGAAAGTCGCGTCAGAGACGGCATGCCGCCGTCACATTATGATGGCAGCCACAAGGAAGCCGAGGGGTTGGACATCAAAGGTAACTTTGGCAGGAAAATAAAGTTTGGAGTGCTGCACCTTAAAGTCAAGATTGGTTTCTAATTGTTTGACCAACAAGTACTTGAAATATTTCTCAGTCAAGTTTGGTTCTTGAATTATCGTTTTTTTGTCTTGTCAACAAACGCTTCAAATAATTGTGGCGTGATCTATTTGACCCTTTGTTAAATGTGTAGCTTCTGGTCAATTAAAGCTGCAGTTGTAATGCTGCTGGTGCCAGAAATCCCAAGGAAAATACTGTACCATAACAGAGCATGTGCAAGATCGCAGCCAGGAAATGAATATTGTGTTGTGTAAAGGCGCTTATGCAGTTGGAAATTAAGCAATTTATTTTGAACAAATATAACATACGGAAATTACTTGGCCAATTTTGGCAATAGCTTCCAATTTCAATTCATTGTGTTTCAAGTTAAGTGAAATTGCAGTCGCATAATTACCCATAAAATTTCCAATTTTCACACATTCACTCTGCATATTTCTCCAAACGTTCAACTGATTTCCATAAAGTCATATTTAATGTGTACACAATTCAGTGGTGTATTGTAAAGCTGTTGCTATGCCTAACAGGGTATGTTGTGTTTGCAGACCAAACTGGGGCAGATATATTGGAAGCAATTTCCAGCCCCACATCCAGCTACGAAAGTGAAAGAGATACAAAGGTAAGTGTCAAGTTTAAGATGAAAAAATATAGCTTACACATGTCAATTTTTTTTATATATTATTTGAACATTTTTACATGTTCTTGTTTGCTTGAAATGCTGAACATCTGCAATGTGATTGCCCCATTGAGGGTTATAGAACTGCATATATATATAGAGTTTGTATGCAGTTATACTCTTGGCATTTATTCATCTTCTGAAGACGTTCTTCTCTGTACATGTATTACTGTTGGGTCAGGTGTGGTGAAAATCTAGTTAATCATCCATAATTTAAGAACTGTATTTTAAGTTGCTAAACTCCTAGCTTTCTTGTACATACATACATGATTGTTGCTCAAGATTTAAGAAGCAAACAAAATAATGTAATTCTCTGATAACCTTTCAGTGGTCCTCTAGTTCCACTGAGAACACACATGTCAGTCAATATTAGTCATTGCTTTAGGGGAGGACGCTTACACAGGCACAGGTAGAGCATGTACAGCCCTTTTGTCATGGAAGAAAAATGTGGGTTTTCCCCGAGCTGTTTGGCTTGTAATATTTCACCGCGCTGGTCAGTACAGATTAGTAAACCTGGGCCCATGGACATTGGAGCATAGTAAAATACAATGGATTTTCCTGCACTGTCCTCTGCTCACAAAGTAGCCCCGCAGGAGCCTACGAAATCTGATGCGTGGTGGTCACTATTCCATGGACTAATCCAAGCTCGCTTTTGCTTGGCTTCCGAGATCTAAGACGATTGGGTGCATTATGCGTGTTGTAGTCATAGGCCCCCCACACAGAGCCGCCATGTGTGTTACGTGCATGCACACTTGGGTACGGGAGCTGAGTTACGTACCTGCCTCTCTGTTTGGTCAGGCGGTGAAGCCGCTGGAAGATGGGAGCGAAGGTGCGGCAAGCAAGAGCGCAAAAAAGAGAGGCGCGCGCAAGCGAGACGGCTCCCCCACCCCTCCGCCCGGCAAGAGGCGGAGAGTACAGTCAGGTCCTGATCTGCAGCCTCCGTATCTTGCGTTTCACAACATTGTTTCGTTTCACACCAGTGGGCAGCTTAGACAGAGAGACTACCTCTCATCGCAGGCATGTAGCATTTTCGCCACCTGATGAGGGCTACTAGTGGAGATGAGCCTCATTCTTGTTTGTATCATATTTTTTTTTAATTTTGTTATGCTGTACACCGGATAACTTCAGCTACATACATATCTCACAAGCTGAATCCAGGCTCGACTTTTCCTCCTGCTTACCGGGATGTTTATAGTATGTAACAGATGGCAAAGTGGGTCAGACAAACCAAGTTGTGAGTTGAAATCCTCTTTGGAGGTTATTGTTAGTCCTTGTGTCCAAAATGTGTGTGATGTGGTAGGAAGAGTAAATTGCTCCCTGCCTAATACATTGATAATTTCTACTTCAGGCTTGGTAACACAAATGAGCACCAGCAAATGCTTTTTTCTTATATTTTTGTGACATTTCACTCGCTTGACTTTTATGTGTATAAGGCAGTACTTGGCCTACTCCCTACATATCTTTGTTCACGGCTAACAAAAACATCACAACCCTACAGCCATCGTTCTCAGTCAGTTCCTAGGGCAAGGACTAAAATTGGGAAACAATAATTTTCCTATCATGCTCTTTGGGTCTGGAATAAATTACAAACGATTTTAAAACTGGAGGAGAGGGTATTAATGTCTGATTTCAAAGCTCTGATAGAAGAAAATGTCATTGTCATTTCGTTTTAAAGCTTTGGTGACTGCAGGGATTCATATTCTTGGTTCTTTCGGTAAAGTCACGTAGAAGGGAAATATAAAAAGTACTTTTATTATTTCATTATTTTATTTCTCTTCTACGTGACTTTACTGAAAGAACCAAGAAAATGTCATTGTAATTGTTTTTAATGTTTTGTATTGTACTATTTCGTATTGTGTGCGTGTGGTCATTTCTTTTTGCTGACTTCTTGGCAGGTCCTGCTCGTAAAAGAGGTTTTCACCTCAAGGGTTTTTTTTACCTGGTTAAATACATTTTGATTTAAAGCTTTCGTGACTGCAGGGATTCATATTCTTGGTTCTTTCGGTAAAGTCGCCACGTAGAAGGGAATTTAATTGTTTTATATTTGTTTTATTTTATTGTTTCCCTTCTACGTGACTTTACCAAAAGAACCAAGAATATGTTTAAATAAAGGTGAAATAAAAATAAAATGTACGTCGTTAGTTTGAGCGGTCTGAAGCCAAGAGTTGCTCGTGTACAGTGGCAGTTGTCCATATGTTTGGTGTATGCACAAATCTTCGAGTCGTTTTAATGATAAATAATAATACATGGCATATTCAATTGATTTATTGAATGTTGTTTGGTATACCTTGAGTCGAGGTAATACTTCTGTTTCATTTTTTTCCTAACAGACAAATCGGAGGCTGAGAGTAAAGAAACCACAGATTCTTCTGAAGCAGAAAATTCCTCAAATTCCGAAGAGAAAATGCAGCGGTATGTGTGTTACACATTTCTACTGTTCGTATCAGTGTGGACAATTGCTCTGTAGAATTGTGTAGTCGTGACAGTAGTTTCCACAACATCAATCTTCTATGCTACATTTACTATTGAATTTCTCACCCAGTTTTCTAAACATAAAGAAAACATTCCAATGACACCCATAATAGAGAGTAGCAGAACATAAACATTTTTATATATATACAGGTGGCCACATGACTCGGAGAGCTAATACCATCTCCGAGCACTGAGTCAGCACTGTCGAGAAGCCCGAGTTCAAATCTCGGTTCTCAAGCATAGTGAATTGATGGTCTTAGCTCACTCGCCAATGACAAATCCTCACAGCAACCCTTTATGGATTCAAACCCATAATATTGCCTTGGGTTTTTCACTTGAAAAAAAATTGTTTCATTGGCATGGGACAAAACACTCTTTGCCAGCCATTAGAATAGTGTACTTGGGGTTAGTTAATGGGCCCATTGAAGTAGCTTCAGAAGTTGTTCTGTGACATCATTTTCTAGGGCAGTTCTCCGACACGTGGTGGTGTACTGCTCGCTGTGAGGGTTCTGCATGTATTTTTTCTCCCATTTATAATCCAAGTGTGCCATTGCGTCAGGCCAAAAGCCACAACTGGAATATTATTGAGAAAAAAAGCATTTTTAAATATCCGTATTTTCATCATGCTAATGGCTACTCGACTCTCACGTTGGATTTTCAGACCCAGCACACGCCGCAGCACGCGGCACGAGAAGCAGGAGAAGGGCAAGGAGCCCCCGCCGGCCCACCGAACGCGGCGGAAACAAGCAAAGTCCTCGACCGAGTCTGACGTCGGCCGTCAGACAAGGCGGGCGTCCGGCCATCTGGCTGCCGAGGCCACGCGCCAAATACGGCAAAAGAGGGGTGGCCCAGTGTCTCCGAACCGCGAGGACAAGCAGACGCGGCAGGGAAAGGTTCAAGCAGTGCAGTCAAAGCCACGTGGACGCCGGGCAAAACAAGTGGCCAAAGAGATGGCGTCGCCGCAGCATGACGCTCGGCAGAAAGCCAGGCAAACTCGCGCGTCTGCCGGTCTCCAGCCCTCGGAGTGCAAACCTCCGTCGGCCGACACTACAAAGCAGAGCAAGAGAGGACGCAATTCTTCGGGTTTTAAAAGCCCTGAGCTACCCCGGCGGACGCAGCAGCTGCAGTCGGCAGTTTCTGCTGCACAAGCTTCGGCGGAGGAAGCACCGTCCTCAAAAGGGCCTGCAGATCCTGAGCCCGAGTTGTCTTCCCAGAAAAAAGAGAATGAAACGGGAGAGCCGGAAAATACTTTGGCTGTGCCTGGTGAGCCTTTAAGCGACACTGGTCCCAAAGGGAAGACAGCTGCTGACGTGTCTGGAATTTCTAAAACGACTGTCGATGATCCTTCCACCTTTCGGTCCCTGGAGTCTTTGCAGCCATGCCCTGAATCTTCATTGGAGGCTTCAAATGAGACAAATTACTCTTCTGTGGAAAAACAAGGCTGTCAAGAGATTCCCAGTGCCAGTGTAAAGGAGGGGTTACTTCAAAGTGATGGCAAACAGCAAGCACACGATTCTGAGTCCCAACCAGAAGCTGAATCTCCCGCAGCACATGAACCACAAGTGGTAACATTAGTTGATACAACAAGGCCTGATGAGCCTTGTGATTCTGCAAGTGCAGAGGAAAGGAGGCAGGAAAATGAGCAACAGCCTCCTCAAATGGAAGAAATGGATACTGCTCAACAGAAATTAAGTTTAGATAAAAATGAGCCACATTTACAAAAGCCAGCCACACAGGAAGCAGAAAAAGGGGTGGAAAATCTCGAAGCGAAATTTGCAAAGCAACTAGAGGCTGAGAGTCTGGCTGCGAATCCGGATCTTGAGCAGCCAGAAAGTGAACATAAAGCGGACTCGAAAACGTCTGACGGCACAGAGGAGAAGAAGTCATCGGTCAGCCAAGGCGCTCCGCCACAGCGCATGCAGCTCAGGAGGCTCTCATCGACTCAACAGGCGAAGGACGGTGCCGACGCCTCCCCGCAGAGCCGGCAGACTCGTGCCACGGCCAACGTGGCGTCTGAAGCGGCCCAGCCAGCGCGGCAGGCCAGGCTGTCGGCAGCGGCAGCGGCGGAGGTGAAAGCTCTTGGCCGACAAACCCGCTCAGCGGCAGTCAACACCGGTGACGTCGCTCAGCAGCAGCAGCAGCAAGCGAAAGCGACGCGGTCATTGCAAGCCTCTTCCGGCAATGACAAGTAAGGCCTGGCTTGGGCAAATTAGATCGTTGTTGTGTGCCGTGGTCTGTGTGTCTGCCTGGCTCGGCTTTTCAAAGCAAACATTGATCTGTTCAGTTTGTTGATATTTATCCTCAATGTGTGTTTTATATTCAGTTGGCTGGCTAGCAGTGGTTAAAGCGCATTCAAATTCCATTCTGTGATGGATTCCACGTCCTTCATCCCTGAGAGTACCACATGGTCAGCTGAGAAACTCGCATGGAAGTTTTCAAGTTAAAATCCCATTCTGTTATAAAACTCATGCCTTCATCTGTACGAAGTTGGTCAAATTATAATCGTTTTGTGGAAGTCCGTTGTTTTGCTATGGATTGACTTGCTTTTGCCATGGAATTAGATGAGCAACCACTCCATGTTTATTGGAGTATGTGAATACTTCGTTTTTTCTTGTTTATCAAATTAAAAGTCACTAATCCAAAATTGCTCATTCAGCAGAGTACTCCTTGGGAAGTTTTGATCAATTTATTCTTTTTGAAGGTTGACTGGGAAATTTCACTTATTTAGCAACCTTTGTTATTTATGTGTTGCCGTAAATCAGTTGTAAGTAATTTACATTTTAGTATTGGGTGCAATTGTGAATAACAGCCATATCAGACATTAGTACGTCTCATCGGCATTATCATTGGTTCACTAAGTGTGTGAAGTTAGGAGATGTCCACGTGTGCTCGGCATTTGAAAGCCTGAAGACCAGTATCGGTGATTTCGTCGACAATTTGTTCAGGGAGGTGGCTCCATTCCTTCCATTTAATAACTTGCTTTAGCCTAATCTTGCACATGTCTTTCACGTTGTTCACAAGGCATGTTGACTTTAAGCTCTCCCACCCCTGCCTCTCCCCTGTTGTTCCTGTCTGCCCCCCCCCCCCACCAGACTCGTGTCGTCGGTAGGAGCTGGAAGAGGCCGCAGGCAGCCCTCGGCCCCGGCACCCGAGACGCGGGGCAGCAGCAAGCGGGCGGCGCCGCCCCAGTCACCAGAGCCCACACGCAGGAAGGGCCGTGGTGGCGAGCCTCCGGCCAAGAGAGGCCGCAGATAACCGCCGAGCAGATGCACGCCAGCAGTGTTCATTTTGTGTCATGACATTACCGTGGAAAATATTTTTTGCTAATTTGCATTTTTTCTTTTATTTATCAGTGATGACTACGAGTGGACGAAAATCGGCAGTTATGATGATGAATGCAACTACCCAACAAGGGCTAAAGCGTGATTGACAATGACGAGACGAAATTAACTAGTCTGAATGAAGCCGCAGTTTAAGATGTGGTTATTAGAGACTAGGGTGCACCGAGCAAGACCAACAATTGTAATTCATATAAATGAGTTCACCGATTGACTGAATTTAACTCTCCCACGCCAGCATTTAATAACTCATGGTGGACTACATTTTAACTGCAAAAGTCAACGAGACTAATTATTACTTCAATTAAATCTTCAGACCAACATTCTACACCTTGTTGATTAGATAAAGTCTACCACTAAAATATAAGATGCTGACTGAACGCTGTACACCACCAGTAACCTTCACGCTGCGACACGAACTCGTTAGCATTCACAAACCACACGCCGCCCCATCATCGTCAGCAACAGCGGCAGCAGCCCGTGTCATGTGGTTGATGCATGGGCATGTCACGATTCACAGATTTAAATAGATTATTACGCTTGAGATACGTGAATCGAATCGCGAATGTAAAAATGTATGATTTGTAAATAGTTGTATGTTATTGTTTTTTTTGCTTAGCAGCTAGGTTTTTACATGCATTACACTGGTAATAAAAATAAAATTGCTTGAAACTAGTCTGGACAATGAAATCGTGACAGCTTGTTGAATTTCCATCAGAGTGAATCGGTACATGTTTATATCCATGGTAGTGCTGTTCCAGGTTGATCATCCTTAATTAGATATTAATCATCAGAATGTGTTTATTTTGAGTGATATCAACACTCATGTTCGGTAATTGTTATTGTTGACTAGCTGCAGGCAGGATTAGTTGATGAATGGTCCAATGAAGGAATTAACTTTGCAAGTTTATTATTCTATGCCAACAAAAGGGCTCTCTAGCCATACAGAAACAGCCTATGGGTACATTCTTTCCTTATACTTGCCCTCTAGAAAAGTGCCTCCTTTAAAAAAAATATTGCCTATATTCATCACACTAGATTCGAAGCTTTCGTGACTGCAGGAATTACTCTTTGGTTCTTTCAGTAAAGTCACGTGGAAAATAAAATCAACGTGACATTACCAAAAGAACCAGAGTATATTCATCACCACGATTGATTTCCCGATAGCTGCACAAGTTATATTTGAAGACGGCTCTCATTGACGAGTGATCGCTGTAACGCTTAAACAACAAACAATTCCCGTGCAGATTTTTACACCATCACACTTGGAGTACAAAAGATACATTTATGATGAAAGTTATTGTTATAACTCATTGACAGTGCAAATAAATGTGTTTTTTTTATTTTGATACTTATTTTGAGTCACTTGTCAATAAATTATTACATTAATTCTTACTTTTTAAAAAGCCTGTAAGCATGTAAAACACTTATGCTTATTATGAGTTGTGATTTTGCTTGTCAGTCATTCACTTTTTTAAACAATATAAATATATTCAAAGTGTTCTTGGTTCTTTCGGTAAAGTCACGTAGAAGGGAAACAATAAAATAATAAAAATCTAAAACAATAAAATTCTCACGACGTTTCGACTGCAACACAAGCAATCATCATCAGGTGTGATTGCTTGTGTTGCAGTAGAAACGTGAGAATTTTATTGTTTTATATTTTTATTATTTAATTGCTTCCCTTCTACATGACTTTACCGAAAGAGCCAAGAATATGAATCCCTGCAGTCACGAAAGCTGTAAATATTAAACTATTCAAAGTGCTTTCATCGGCATTTGAAGCCATAAGCTAAGGGTTACAATTATTTCATACGATGGAAGCCACCTTCTCCAAAGGATAACTACTTAACTTACCAATGAGTGGTAATCATATGATTGTGCCCAACTTCGCAGCACTCTTTTAAATTTCAGTCATTTCATGAGCAAGTCCTAAATTGGTCAATTGTAAGACGTTTAAGGAGCACAATTGTGAAGAAAATTTGGTTTGGGCAGCACATCGCACAAGGGGTTGATAGCCGGTGGTAGTAACGAAAGAGAGGGTCCACCTCGGAGATGGAGCAATGAATCGGCTCTTTATCAGATGGATGTTACATCTTGAGACCACGAGGGAGTGTGATTGCTTGGGGAGGCTTTCATGCAGCAGTGGATAGATCATGATTGATGAACGCTGATAGGGTGATTTGATCTCCAAATGAGAATTGAACTCCCAGCCCTTCAATTGTGTCACTTTGCCTTTTGAAATGTATTACAAAATAAAACATCGTGAGATATCCACCTCTTCCTACATGAATTAGGGAAACGTAATATGTATTTGTATATTTGGGATTGGTATTCAAGCTACAAATATGTTTTTCTGAAGGTGCTGTTAAGATTTGCCTGTAAGAGTGAATATATTTACCAAGTAGATGCATATTAGTGTGGACGTTATTGGGACCACCGCTTTGGCTGGGCATGGATAAAGTATTCAACATTAAGTTTAGATAAAAATTAATTGCACCTCAGCCATGCCAGTCATTGAGGTATCAGGACATATCCTACACATTGCTTTCACATTCTCATCTCTGATGCAACACTGATGTAACAAGCCTGTGATTGCCCTCTCATCCAGATTGTTTGAACATTTCATTGGTGCATATGGTGGCACTGTATATGGTATTTGGTGGACAAAAACATCTTGACTGCATTGTTTGGGAATATCAATATTGTGACAAGGATAATTAACACTGTTCTGCATGCACTGACATCAGATAAAAGTGCCTCGTGCAGGAATAACAATGCCCTTTCATTAGAGTGGATTTAGGTGGAGTGTTAAAAAGTTAAGCATATGGTATATTCTGTAAAAAAAACTTGAGTATTGTCACCAATTAGCAAAGCGTTTTGCAGTCAAATGTAATTCCACCTTTGTAAGGTCAAAAATTACTATGATATTCTTGCTGGCGACTTTAATAAGGAGATAGACATTTTAAGGTTTAAACATTGAGTCGCATCAGCAAGTATGAAGTCTGCTTATATAAACAGCAGCATTGTGTCAAAGGCGTATAAAATATTTTGTAATTAAAATGTAAACGCTGAATCTCGTGCTATTTAAGCATTCACACTCGGTATTGCTGTTAGATGAACTTAATTATTTGGCTGGTACAGGTTTGTTTATATTTGTAAGAGAATCAAGATGTTTGTGAATACTTTCATTCCATTTTTATTACCACTTAAATATTTGAAAACATTGTCATTTCTTGCTAAAATAATTAAGCGTTTATAAGCGTTATGCAATACACTTTGCAGATGTTTGTGCCATTTATAATTAACTTGTATATTTGCTTTCTTGGTTGTCGCTCAGATTGATGTGCTTTGGCTGAATGTAAACAATCCATATGCGTTAAGGTAGCTCACATTCACTACCTGGGAGTTCGTTTATTTTTCTTTTCAGATTTTACTCGTGTATCACTTAAATAATACGCATTGGCGTTAGAGCTTTGTGTGCGTTTTTTTACTTTGTTGGTGCAAATGAGCGAAGCATCTATGTGAATTGTAGTGTAAAATAAAAGCAGAATACTAAAGGTACTTGTGTTTTTAAACCCTGCCGTGCGTGAGTTTTTTCATGAATAATTTATTTACAAAAGTTGTGGTTACTGACACTGCTAAATGCCATGCTGAGTGTTGCACTGCAGTTATTCTTAATTACATTTACCAATAGGTGGCGCCTATTCTGAAGTTTGTACCATACATTTCAACATTAACCAGCTCTCATCAGATTTTCCCCAACAGAATACTTTTATACCATTCATTTTGGTGTTTAGTTTCACTTTTATAAAACAATAGCTGATCATACAATGAATTGCAATATAAATAGCTGGTCACAGTAATTAACTTTGTTGTAACTACATTGGTGCACAATACAGTAATACACATGGATTAGGGTTGTGGTTGTGAGTGAAATGTGTCTTTAATTCTCGGTTATGCAATGCATTGCCCAATACATTTACACATTTGTAGTGAGTTCAACTGAGTCGCAGACGTACTCTTTGGAGGCAACACATTTATTAACACCAACACACGGGGTAACTGCCCGTTAACAGAATAACAACCTATTGTGGTGACCACCAGGCTAACTACGCTAATTACAACGTAACTAGCTACTACAGACCGGACCCCAGCTTGGGTCCAGGTCCACGTGTTGGAGACTCTGTAGGACGTAGAACATAGACGAAGGTTCAGGATGAACAACAGCGCCGCTCCCTCTGGGGGACCCGGCTGATATCCTCTGCGGAGTGGCCGGCTCCGCCCCTGGCCACGACCACCTTCCAGAACCCTCCAGCAGGATCTCGACCCGGACCACGTGACCACCCCTAGCCCCCACCTGGAGCCCTTTGTAGACTTAACGTGTCATCTCTGGTCAACCGGAGTGCCGTGGCCGATCGTAACCCCGTTCCTATGGACGGCACTCCCACACCCTATCCTGTAAGGCTGGCACCGCACGCCAAGCGTGATGCCATCCAGCGCGATCACTCAGCGCTGACCGAGCCCCTCTAGGGCCGGTACTACACCGACATCCTAGAGGTGTCCGCGATGTCGTTACACCGCACGCCGTGCCCCTCTAGGGCCGGCATTACCCAGTGACATCCCGCGATGTCACTCCACATTTTTTTACGTTATAGTAGTTGTCCTTTACACGCTCTTATGAATCATCTGGGTGGCGTGTTTGTTTATTGTCACCACTGCACAATAAATTGATCAAGCAGTCTTGAATGTTGGGTGGAAATATACAATTAATCGAGTCGAACAATAAACCAGCGCGCATTTGTATTTCAAAAGATAACGCTGTACCAATGTTGGTGAATTCTCATACACTTGCGCATACGTCCATACACAAGTAAAATGTTAATACCATACTACAGTTGATTACTCGTGGCGTAAAGTTATGACAGGCCAAAATATTTAGAAGCAACATATGAACCTCATGGCGGAACCCCGGGGTCCCGAATAAACACGAAATCAAAATCGTAATACATTTATTTTTGGCGACTCCGTCCCACCGTGCACATAAACGCTGCGACCCACATGGCGCGTATCTTTCTGTTGTCATGTCATGATCGTCGAACCCTGATGGGGTTCAACAATCATGACGTCATCCTGCACTATTAGAAAACATGAAGCAGGTGGATGGCTTCACTATTTTTGCAAATCACCCGAGGATGCTGGGTGTAATTTCCAGCAAAATGACGTACTCAAATTGTTTATGTTGTGGATCCACTCTTCAACACACCGGTGCGCTAAAGTAGTGAAATATTTTTTCTTTTGTCAACGTGACACTTTTTTTACTGGTTGGCCGTGCCGGGTGGTGGAGGGTTGCAACACATTTATAAATAACGCGATCTAACCCAAAAACCTTTATTATGAATAATGCTGGTCGCAAAAGCCTACGTGTT